AATGCAGCGCTCCTTGTGGTGCGGTGTAAAGATACTCGCGAAGACGTGTATGAAATGTGACTCTCTTGTTTACAGCATCGTGGTCTAAATTAGCTCATAGTATTAGTGAACGGCTGAAGCATTCACGACGCTCAGAAGGTCAAAAGTCATTTAAACAAAAAAAGAAAGAAACGTCCAGTGATCGAACGTATGAGAATTCAGCACATAGCAAAGTCTACAATTTTCTTCAAGGTTTTTTGGCTACATTTGGTAGCCTCAGGAGCCATCCTGGTAGCCAAAAATACCTGCGATACATATTTCATTTTAGTTCACGATGCAAGTGATTCAAACTTAAAACTACAAAAAAAATAAATAAATAAATAAATAAAAATAAAAAAATAAAAAAATAAAGATGCATCTAGAAAAGGAAGTGGAGAGGTTCCCATGTGTAGACTCTCTTAAAAATGTACAATAAACTAAATAAAAATTACGATTAAGATCCTTGGTTACATGTACAAATAAACATGATTCAAGTGCACTTTGAGCTTAGATCTAAACCGCTGAAGTTTATCAGCTTCCACTGCATCTCTTGGTAATTCATTCCATAACTTAACAATCCTAGTGAATCACGTTCGTAGGGATGATTAGTTCTCGTAAACCAGGTTGCTAGGCCCAAAACCCAACCTGAGAGCCTATTCGCAGACTATAATTTTAGGGAGAGATCTATTCAAGAACAAGGATTGTTTTTATTCAGGGAAAATATCACAACTACAGCTATCTTTGCCTCACACCGCACGCTCAATTACATACAAACGAAGCACTTCACAAAAACAGAAAAAACTGAATCATCAGTAAATCCTTCATCATCGATGTTATTGCTAGAATTAAGCCTTTTAAAGCATAAATTTTCTCAGGGAGACATGTACACACATAAAAGAGGGCACCAACCTCGTTCGAAAATAGCTGAGCGCCACAAAGAAAGTCTTCAATTTGCTCTCGAAGCGTCCAACAGCTGATCTCCTAAAGGCTTTCGATACGCTAAACGCATGCAACGCTTCGATATTAACGCCTGGTGAATTAAATTTAGATGNGTCTTCAATTTGCTCTCGAAGCGTCCAACAGCTGATCTCCTAAAGGCTTTCGATACGCTAAACGCATGCAACGCTTCGATATTAACGCCTGGTGAATTAAATTTAGATGGAGGTGGTATTAATAAGTGACTGCTATTCGGTAATACTTTTTGAACAGTCGACCTTAAATCGGTTCGATGCGCGTGCACACCGACCGTCAAATCTCTCCTAGGGTACACCAGTGGAAATCAATCTTTGGAGAGCAAAGTTAAGCCACCCACACCACTAAATTAGCTTAATTGTCACGGTGATAATTTCTCGATCAGTCACGAGCTTTTCCGGTTAACTTTGGCAAAAGTCCCTCAGCGCTACCGATAGCAAAACGGGACCGGAAAAATAGACCATTTTTTAAAACGGCAAAATCAAATCAATGACTTCAAATTTCAAATGGTAAAAACCAAAAACTATCTTACATTACTTAACTAAAGACAAGTAAGTTCTACGGTCGGACAGAGGAGACCATTTTAGCAGCTTCCATCAGTCAACCGGTGAGGCATGTCCTTTGCGTTGATTTAAGGATAAGTCTTGATGCTCTTTGCCCGAAAGGGGTACTCCCAGAAAAGTTGGTTGGGGGTGTGCGACCCACTTCCCAAAATCCTTACCCTACTTACGACCAAAATCTGCGATTTTTGCTACCCTATTTATGACCTGGCCAGATATTCAATACCCTATATTTACGACCGTTGCGGCTGGCACAGTTCCCTAAACATAAGTTATGAAGGGCTTTTGTTGACGGTCTTATTGATAATGTTAAAAAGGAAGCTTCTTCCCGAGAAACATACCCAATTCAAGACTAGAGTGCTGAAACCACACCCTATTTAAGACCAAAATGGCCAAAATCGATACCCTATTTATGACCAAAACGGCTGCAAAACCCTACCTTTTGGGGCCGCACATACCTATGTAGCCCATAAAAGGGAGTACCTCTCAGCAGGGGCTCTTTGCTGTATATTCTCAGGGGCATGGATGTCCTTGGCAAGGCAAGGACACCAGACAGGTACCGCATATTTCAAGATTGGCCGCACAAGAAATTTTTGCAGTATAGGAAAACATCCGCGGTGCCCACAGAGCGCTTAGTAGAACCTAAAACCATGTTCGCTGTTATTCACAGTCATATACTAATGCGATTACCCCTTCAGGCTAGCAAGAGCCCAGTCCTGAGTTATTACAACACCAAGATCTTTAAAACTGTCTGCGTCTTTCAGGGGCTTTCCAAAGGAACAATTGGTTACTGACCTATTGTGTGATTTGCAGTGTAATTTGCATATCGTGTATAGATTCGTATTTATTAGCCTGCGTAGCTTGGCGGTTTTTAAGCAATCTGAGCGCGCTAAGAAAGCGGCGAAGCCGCGATAGCGAGCGGCGAAGTCGTAAGGAACCTGGGAGAGAGACAACTAAGTCAAAACTTAGCTGTCCTACCGAAACGACACGATAATAGTAATTTTCTTCACAGCTAACAAAATATAGAGAAACTTCCAAGTTGGTTTAGCCTCTTCTAATACTCAACTCCAAAATTCTGGATTTAATTTGACGAGGAGCAGCATCATCTTTGTTCAAAATGTCGAAAATGACAAACTATTATCCTACCTGGACTGACGACAGCAATCGAAAGGTGAGTTGCCGAGTGGGGTCGACTCATTTTTGGCACCAAATAAAATGTTGAAGACACAAAATGTTTCATATTTTTCACTCTTTACAATCTGATATGGCTTTTGGAGTAAAAAAAAATTCTTTTTCGTGAATATTTAATGCCTTCTTCGGTGAGAAAAGATGTCCGGCTTCAATTAACATACATTTGACGTCAAGATAGTAGAGTTTTTCCCGCCTGCAGAATACTGATTGGTTAATTAAAATTTCAGGCGCGCCGGCCCTATTCATGGGGGTGGCTCAAAACAGTTTTCTGTCTCTTTTTTTTTTTTTTTGCGACATTTAGAACTAAGAGCAATTTTCAGGCTTAGAACTGTGCTGTTTTCGGAATGGCTGTGCTATTTTTTTAAGGTAATTATATAATTAACTCTCCACTGTGCCTTTCATTGTGTTTAAATCATAAAGTAAGGTTGCGCTGGTCTGTTGCATAGCAACAAACTTGACCCATTTTTTACCATCAATTGCACCTATCTTAAAAACTAAGCCGGTGACCTCATATTCTTTTTCTAAAAATCTTTTTATTACACACTGAAGAAGAAACAGGGAAAATTATAAAAAAGTTTTGTGGATTAGATTTTGCTTAAATTTAAAAGAAATGGAAATTTCCAAGTTGGAAAAATTCCACTCCACAGTTTTTCTTTACAATTTCGCACATGCATTTCGCTTTTGCTGTTGAACAATCTCTAGCATTAAAAAGGTAGGGTCCCGGATCGGTTTTTTTTTGAGATATTGGCTTCGTGAGTAAGGAATTTTTCGCACGTGTTCTACGCGCAGATTAAAATCTCGACTTTGCAAGATGGCACCTTGTGCACGCGTGAAGGCGGTCCGCTGCTCAGTAAAGCCCGCAATTCCATGCCAATAAATGCGAATATTCGCGAATACTGTTTTCATCTTCCCTGTTGTTGTTTTAAAACAGCATAAGCGGTAGAAGAAGAGTACCATAAATACCGAAGGTGGGACTGGCCCAGTAAAAAAATCGAAGAAAACCTGAAGAGAAGTTTTTTTGTTTTTTTTTCCCTGCTCTTTTGTAGGTTGATAGCCGGCGCGATCGATCACAACATCAACATCACAATTTTTGTTTACTTTCCATCACAGTGGTTTAAAAGAACGTCTTTTCCTTGGAAATTGACTGAAGGATGGACGTTCCGAAGGTAAAAATAAGCGATATCGCCAACAGCTCACTAAACTTGGTGGAAACAAACTTCAGTTTACGAACTAGGCCTCGCGCCGCCATGTTTGTTGTGAGTTTTGCAAACTTGAAATCTCGCGCACTATCTCGCGACCCCTCGGGTGATCGCGTGATGCCTCGAACTAAAGTGCGCGTTAGAGCCCAGGCTTCTCACGGAAATATTACTACTGATGTCAACGGCTTTAGCAAGATCTAAGAAAATGACATCGGCAGGAACAGACAGATTTCTTTATTTCGCCAAACTTTGCCGTAATTAAACGTTGATAATAACTGAGTTGAGTGGATTTTCCTCGTTGAAAAAAGAATTGGTTGTTGTTGATTCTGAGGTCATTATCGCGGCAAAATTAAAAGACTCTCTGTCTACCGGTCTGCACTGCGCGCCTCGGCTGGAATTTCGTATGATACGAAACTCCATTTTGAAGTGCTTTGAAGCAGTTGTTTTAATCGGTGGTAATCTGAGCGATCTATAACTTGATTTTCAAACATCTATCTTTCTGTTAAAGGTTTAAACCATGAGGATTAGACCATAAAAGCTCTTCAAGAGAATTATCTGAGAAAAAAAATAACAACATTCCGGTCGACAAAGAGTCTTTAAACATCCTGTCGAAAACAAATTTTTTGCTGATCTCACAAACGATAGAAGTGAGGAAAATTGTGCGGTGGCCGAGTTCTCTTAGAGGGTTTAGGACCCTTCTGGCGTAGAGGTGCAATAACTGCGTGTTTTCATTCATCAGGTAGAAGGCCAATAGGGGACAATTTGTTCACCATATACGTCACTGAAGATGAAAATTTCGGTACAAACGGCGGGTTATGCTCCGGACCAGGATACTTGTTGGGCTTGAGAGTTTTAGATGGTGGCATATGACCTCATTAGTATAACAATTACTGTATACAAGTTTCTTGTCAACACTACAAGCAAGCAATGTGTAGGGCAAATTTGCATATTATCTCCGGTGGTAAACAACGAAGAGAAATACGAGTTCACACTGTGACCAATACTAGAGTTGTACATCAGAACAGATTCATCGATTTTCAATGTGACAAGACCAAAAGTGCCTCTTCGCTTGAACTTGTTGGAGTTACATTGTTGGAGTTGCATCAGTGTACATGGAAAATCCGGTTGTTCAATAATTGCATGATCTATTTCGTCGACAAGACTAAACATTTGCTACAAATATTTATTACAAACTAAGTTGTAACACTACAAAAGTATCAATTAATTACCTGAAATGATCAGTAAGATGTCATAACATACGTTATGTTAAAAGAAATCTTAACCTTGTATGCAAACAGAACGCTCTAGCTTGCTACTTTGGTCACCGCTCATATACAAATTCTATTTTTTTACGGCCTCATATTTTTCTTGATATTTTACTACTGATCTTCATTACTAAACCTATGTAGCTAAATTCTTTATAGTGTAAATAAAAAAAAACTGAAGTGAATTGAATTGAATCAAAACACTAACGCTAGCTATATTGGAAACCGAAAAGAAAAATCATCACAAGGAGAAAAACCGTTATACATGTAACGCTTTTGCTGAGATGAGTTGAGTTTACAAAGACATAGGCAAAAGTATCTGGGGTTGCTTCAGTGACTTAGCAGACAGCATTTCACTGCTCACTGTATAGTAAGTTTCGGAGTAAGGCTGCAAGACTAAGATGCTTGGAATCCTATAAAAAAATCCTTGCAAACGTACAAGTAATGTCTCAAACAGACATAGTGCAAACTTATATAATACAACCTACACCGCTTTCGCTTTTATCAAAGTAAAAAAAAAAAGAACTTAGTTCGACGTAAATATTTAACATCGTTGAACGTCTATGCGATACGTAAAAGCAGGATGATAAAATTCGACAATGAATTGAGCGGGCAATTATTTACCAGGGGAAAAAATATAACTGAAATCGTTGGGCAGCATAGATGCACGTTAAAAACTCACAAAGTTTCATTTTACGCCGAGTGGGTATAAATCGTTGGAGCATGAAAAGAGTATGGCCTTTCAGTCGGAGAACAAGTGCTGTTTTTGCCGAATCTTTGATCAGACACAAAGATAGCTCGTGAGTTATTAGTCAATTAGCAACCATTGAAAGAAAATGTAACTACACTCAAACTTGCCACATTAACACCGTCTGATATGTACATTTTATGTTGGTAAGCAACTTCGATACAAATACTGCAGGATCGACTAACTAGCCCATAACTGGTACTTGTTCAAACTGTCATTGAAACTGAAAAAGTCCTGGAACGAGTTTAACTCTTTGTTGCTAGTCAGATAACTGTGATTTGTACAAGACCGTCATCATTCACGTTACCACCAGTCACACCAGAGCAACTATCACCACTGCAATACGAACCCCCTCCCCCACCGGCTTGGTTTGGATGGGTACCGCTTCCTCCCCCAGAATACCCTCCACCTCCACCTGATGCGCCGTTGTCCTCTGCACCCCCTCCCCCGCCACCAAAGCCTCCAACCGCGCCAGGGGAAGGCCCTCCGTTACTTCCACTGTTCATACCTCCCGCCTGACCTCCAATCCAACCTTGAGCTCGTGATCCGCCTCTCTCTCCATGGTAAGAACCTCCTCTGTCACACCCTTGAGCATACCAGCCCGTACCAACTCCCCCATGGAAGGCACCACCTGGTCTATTGCATTCACCTGGCTGCCCCCCAGTACCTCCCTTTCGCACATAAGATGAATGTCTCCCCACACTACTGGTGCCACTTGTTCCCGCCTGACCATCCACACCGTTATATCCACCAGACGCACCCCCTCCCCCTCCGGCAGCTAACAAAAGTATGTTACTTGTAGTATAAACAAAACTGCCTCCCCCTCCACCCGTACCAGCATTGTCCTCTAAAGATAGCCCTAGCTGAGCTGCTGTCTGGGTAGTCCTTCTTCCTCCTTTCACCTCCACTGAGTTTCCTCCTCTCTGTCCCACCACAATATTCAACACTGTTCCTTTAGTCAGTCTGAACTTGCCTTGAATGTACGCACCCTTGCCACCATAGTAAGTTCCCGGATTGTAACCATAGTTGTACGAGTGTGTTCCTCCCCGGGCTCCCCAGGCTTTGATGAGATAGCGGGCGCTTCTGGGAACGGTGAATTTCTGAATGGTGCCATATCGTCCCTTTCCTCTATTAGTTGTGAACTGAAAGGAACCTATAAGAAAAAAAATGAAGAATAGGACAAGACTCCTGCAATTAATAAAGAAAAAGATAAAAGTCAAGTCTGCGTTCGAGTCCAGAGGCCCATCAGGCAGGAATCTCCGGTTTCTATGGCGTGAAGTTACTAAGAAAATAAAGAGTTTAAGCATTACGTTTACGGTAGACGGCAGACGGTAAACGGCAAAGACTACCTCTGATTGTTTATTCTTTTCTTGTAATCCTTAAATATATCACACAAAAACAGAAAAATGTCCCCTACTATTCTCCCAAATACAAATATTTTCACTCTACTGTACAGACAGCTGAAGACAGACGGCAAAAGTTTCATTTTTGCCGCTTGCCGTCTCTCTAATTTCTACTCATCGGCGAGATAGGATGCTAATACATCACAGGGCTATTGCTGATTTTCATGAGACGCCATCATTTTCCAAATAAATGAATACCACTCTTTATGGGGGTTTATTTCATTCTTATGTTAGATCCTCTAAGAACCTGTCGTTTCACGACTTTTAAGCTCGAAATGGTTCCTCATTTTGTTATCCTAAAGCACGTAAGAGCCC